GTTAGAAGAAATACAGACATGCAAGGTGCTAAGAATATGTGGAAGATGAGCAGCTATTGAGTCTGAGAACTCAGCATTAGGGGAAAGGAAGCATTTGAATTGGGATTTTAAAAGGTAAGTGCAAGTTGCCAGACATAAAAATGGGAGGGGAGCATTCTGGCTGAGGAACAGCTTACCTGTAGGTATGGAGACATGAAAGCGTGTGATTCAGTTGGGAAACAACTTATAGTTTTATTTGGCTGGACTATGAGTATGCAAGTGGGAGATGATCATATATGAGCAGATACAAAATAGTATGGCTAAGGCCTTGAATATCAGGGAAAATATCTGGAGACCTTGATTTCTTAAAAGGGGGATTCTGACAGCACTAATTGAGACTTCAGAAGACTACAGGAGGAAGACTGGGCTGAGGGTGGGTGAGGGGTGAAGCCGGGGCAGTGGCAGAGGGCTGGGAGGCAGCTGGGAGAGGTGCAAGGCTGCAGGACGCACCTCTAAGTGACTATTGACGGCAAAGGAGGGGAAAGTGAAAAAGTGGCTGTGCCCACTCGGGCACCACCTGGAGTGAGATGGGGACACAGGCCAGCACAGTGGGCTTTGATTTTCTATTTAGCAGGCTTTACAGGTGTTTTCTTTCATAATTTACCCCATATGGGAAATAGGCTATTTGTTACAGACAGAAAATAGGAGAGCCCAGGGAGCTGGAAGAGAGGGTAATCGGAAATAGTTCACAAACAAACAACAGGTGTCATGCCAAGCAGTACACACCACGGGAGACGGGAACAAGACACATTGACGAGGGGTTAGCTTGAGCAGAAGGGCCTCAGAAAAGATGTGGGACTTAAGAAGAGCCTTAAAGATCATCCAGCACTGGGCAATTTTTTTCTGTAAAAAGACAAACAGTGAATATTTTTGACTTTGTTGCTCAGACAGCATCTGTCAGAGCTACTCAATTTTGCCACCGCCTCACAACAGCAACCTCAAACAATTAATCAAGTGGGGGGAGCGACCTGCCTAATGCTGGCTGGACGTGGGTCTGGGACCACAGTTTGCTGGGCCCTTGACATGGCTGAGAAAGTGAAGGAGCTTGCCCGAGCTCACACAGCATAGCTGGACCAGCCAGCAACAACACAGAGGACTTTACACTCCCTGTTTGAGACTCACTCCATGACATCACGGTGAGTATTAAATTGGGCCATGGTTACTGAGGGTGAAGAGGCACAGAGCTGAGAACCAAGTAAAAAACAGGGAAGAGAACTGTGAAATATGACTGCAGATGTGAATCCAAACCCTGACTTGGCCCTCAGGGGAGGATTAAGTCACTGAACACTTTCTGAGGCAGAGGACGGCAGGAAGGTGTGAGCAGGGAGACACCAAGGCAGGAGTCTCATGCGAAGCCGCATCATGACTCAGCACTTGGGATCACGTCATGCTCAGATCTGCTTTTCCCAAAAGGTCTTACCAACACGGTCTTTCCTCTCTTTCCCACCGTGATGCCGGAGTTCCTGAAACCAGAGTCGACTGCCACTGAATGCTGTAGGAAAACAAAACGTGTTAAATGTTGACAGTCTGGGTAATCAGACCATCTGTTTAGCTCCACCTACTGCAGAAACGTGTATAAACCAAAACCTATTCAGGTTTTGACCAACGAGCAGAGACGATGCTTAAAAGTAAGTTTGATCAAATCCCTATGAGAAATAAGTAAGTATGAACTATGGCAGCGCCACTGAGAAAGAGTAACACTAGACTTCAATCACAGAGATCTCTGACCAGTGACGATTTGCATAAAATATACATTGAAAAAGTCATTGTTGTCATTGTGCTATATGAAAGTAAACAAAACAAATAAAATCTCCCTTTTAAATGAGTGAATCTTTTTTCTAAGTAAGAGAGAACAGAGATTATCTTAGTGCCCTTTCTGTCTCTAAAGAAAACTCTGTTGAAATAATATAAGAAAGGCATAGAAAGCACAGCATTCCGATCCTACTGGGAGTGACTGTGTTATTTTATCGAAACAGCCCCAGGGACCAGATGTAGGCCCCTTTTTTTCTGCACAAAGAATTATTTGGCCTTAAATGCCAACAGTGCTGATGTGTTCAGAGACCCTGCTCCAAGGCTTTGTTCTTCTTTTGAGATTCTATGTGGTTCCCTGGTTTAAATACCGCATATATGTTGATGAATCCCATTTCTAGTTCAGATCTTTACCCTGAAGTTGATTCTATATAAACTGATTCTTAAATAAATCTATCTCACATCCAGTGTTTCTAATTCCGGTAAATGACAACATGACCCAGCCACATGCCCAAACCCCAAACCTGGATAAGTGATGCTTTCTACGCCTTTATCCCACACACCCAATTCCTACTGATTTCACCTCCAAAATACACCTTGAATTCCTCCGGCTCTCGCCACATCCACTGCCCACTCCAGCCCAAGTCCCCAGCCTTCTCCCTCTCTCCTCGCCTTCTGGAGGCGTCCCCCAGTCTCTCTCAGCTCTCACTCTTGCCCCTGCAAATCATCCTTACAGACCACCAGGGACAGACTCCCAAATCCTAACCAGGACTTACAACGTTCTATCTGACCTGGCCTCTGCCTTTGTTTCCAGCCGCAACTGGCTTCTCTCCTCTTCTTTAAACACACCAACTCTTTCCTGCATCAAACTACTTACTAGTGCTGTTCCTCTGCCTGGCCTGGTCTTTCCACATCTGGTGTCTCATGACCACTCTCTCTAAATGCTCCCCTCTCCTGATGCTCCAGCGCAGTGCCCCCCGATCGCCTTCAGAGCAGTTCTCACAATGCGAAATTTTGTTTATCTACCACTTACTGTGTGTTTCCCTCCCCTACAATGAAAATAAAATCTCGCAGGGGAAGGATATTATCTGTCTTTGTTGACTTTTCACTAGTACCTGGAAGATTTGCCTGGCACACTGTATGTGCTCAGAAAGGGTTATGAACGTGTGAATTTCTCAGTTTCTCTAATTCCACTGCACTTAGCTCCCGGAAATGTTAAACTTCTATGGAGAGTTTGGCCCAGAGATGACCATGGCTGGGCTCCATCAGCACCACACAGAGAACAGGTCATGGGCATAGAAACAGGAGAGAGTTAACGGTTTCAGCCGCATCGGCAATGTGGTCTGGTACAATGAGAGACTATAACAGAATGAGGTCAGATCCAAGTACAGGGACGATGCAGGGACCAAGGCGGGGAACCACTGAATTCATAAACACCAGGCCTTAAAGAGGATCTTTAAATGCTCGTGTTCCTCAGGCCTCGCCTCTTTTCCTTTTGTGCTTTTTTCACAGGTGATTTTATCTGGCTCCGGACTTTCAATACTAATCGCATATTGGTGTCTCCCCAATGTTTACCTTTAGTCTAGATGGCCCCCCTGACTTTCAGACTGCGACCCAAATGCCTACATCAAGTTGTCATTGGGTGTTATTATGGACCGAATTATGTGTACAGGACCTGGTCAAAACTCATATGCTGACTCCAGAGTAAAAACCCCAAGGTAACTAGGTTTGG